CTTTATTAAAAATGTCTTTTAGCTTAAAGAAAATATAAATACTTTTAATTAAAATTTATTTAGCTTATAAGTTATAATAAATAACTTAAAAAGGGAAAGGAAAATCTTTTTATATTAAACTTTTTAATTTTAATTAAGAAGGGTTTAATAATAAAGATATTATTATAAAAAGATATTAAAGGATAAGAGGATTATAATATTTTACTTTAATTTTAACTTAACTTAAAGGTTAATTAAAATTAAAAGGATATTAAAAAAAGAAAGAAAGAAGAAGAAACTTAAGAAAGAAAAGGAAATTTATATATATAAAGTTATTATAATAAGAGGAGGTAAGTAATATTAATAATAAGCTATTTTATTATTAAAAGGAATGATTTATTATTTTATTTTTAATTAAGGTTGGTTTATTATTAAAAAGGAGTTATTTATTTTTAATTCCCTGCTTATAAAGAAGTTATTTATTTTTTTATTATAAAGGAATTTTAATTAGGTAATTTATTTTAATTTATGCTTAATAAATTTATAAATTAAAAAGAAAGTACTTTATAATTAGCTATTATTTAAGAAAAATAAAAAATTATATACCCTTTTATTTTAATTATTAATAAAATAATAAATTAATAGCTTTTAATAATAATTTATAAGCCTTTTTATTATTCTTTTTTTTTTAATTATATATTATTTAACTTAAGAGTAATAAATTATTAGTATTTATTACTTTAACTTATATATGCTGCTATATTTATTTATTTATAGCTAAGCTCTTTTCCTTTTTCTTTCTTTTTTTTCTTTTTTTTACCTTTATATTATTATTAATTAAAGATTAAAGGTTAGCTGCTACTTAGCTATTTTAATAATAATATATTTTTAATATATTAATTTTTTTCCTTATTTAATTTTTATTTAAAAATAAATAATAATTATTTATAAAAGCTACTTTAAGCTATAATTAAATATTAATTATATTTTTTCTTTATTTTTAACCCTTTTTATCTTAATTACTTATATAATAATCCTTAAAAATGCAAAGCTTTTTTTATTATTATATTTCCCCTTTTCATTATTTAATTTTTATTATTTACTCTTTACTTTATTACTTATTTCCTTTATTTTTTTTCTTTATAATTAAAAGTTAAGATATTTTTTAATTAAAAAAATAAGGTAAAGAAATAATTTTAATTATCTTTATATTATAAAATACTTTAAAATCTTAATATCTTAATTTTAATAATTAAGCTTATTAATTTAAGAAAGAATAATTTAATATTAATAATTATAAAACTTTCTTACTTTAATAACTTTAAAAACTTACTTAGCAAAGCATTATAATTTTTAAATATTATAAATATTTAAAATTAATAAAACTTTATTTAAAAAGTAAATATTAACTTTTTTAAAAATCCCTTTAAAATAAGAATTATTATAAATAAAGTTTATTTAAATAATATTTAATAATTTTAAACTTTTAATTAATTATTATTTTTTAATATAAAATAAATAATATTTAATAATAAGCTTATAAAAATAATATAAAAATATTTCTTAAGTATTAATTTTTATTTTAAGCTAAAAAAATTAATTAAATTAATAAATTTAATAAAATAATATTAAGCCTTTCTTACCTTTAATTTCTTTAATATAAAAAGAATGCTTTATAAATATAAAGAATTAAAAACTTAGTATATTATAGCCTTTATAATTTAATAACTTTTTAACTTTTAAGATATTATATTTTTATTTAAAAAACCTTTATATTATAATTATATTTTACTTAAGAAATATTAATAATATAAATTAATAAAGAATTATAAATTTATTATTATATTTATTTATATACTTAATTATTAAATAATAATAATTTTTAATAAAATAAAGAATTATTGTTTATTATAAAATAATTTTATATTAAGAGATAAGAAGAGTAAGATAAATAAGGATATTAAAATGCTTATTTATAAATATTTAATAATTACTTTAAAAAATAAAATATAAGATTTTAGCAAGGAGTTTATATTAAGATTAAAATAAATTAATAAAATATTTTATAAATAGCATGCTATTAAGTTTATTAAAAATTATTTTAAGGAAAATTAAAGAAAGAATAATTAAAAAGTATAAGATTAAATTAAGGCTTTTTTAATTAAAATTATATATTATAAAATACTTAAAGCTATTGCTAATATTATTATTTAAATATTTACTATTTAATTAAAGCTTAATAAAATTAATAAAGCTATTTAAATATTTATATTAATTCCCCTTATTAAGATTAATAATATAAGAATAATTAAAGCAAGAAATAAGCTTTTATTATAAAGAGATATTATTTAGCAATAATTATTTAAATTGTAATATATTAAAATTATTATTAATTATAAAAAGGGCATAAGGGAAATAATATCTTTAATATAAATTAATTTAATAATTTAATTTTAAATATTTAATATATAATAAAGTATAAATTTTTAAATAGCTTAAAACTAGTTAAGCATAATTTTAATTAAATAAGCCTTTAGCTTAAGTATTATATTATAAGATATTTTAAAGCTAATAAGAAATGCTTATCTTAATATATATAAAGATCTTTTTTATTTATTTATCTTAATAATAAATATAAATAAAATTTAAAGTATATTAATTAATTTAAAATAATTAAAATAATAATAAAGTTTACTTAAAAATAATTTAAAAGGCTTATAAATAAGCTAATTAAGTAATTAAATATAAAGCATAAATATTAAAAGTAAAAGTATTATAAAAAGTAAAAGTAAAAGTAAAAGCTTTATAAAAAGTAAAATTAAAAGTTAATAAAGTTAATATATTATACTTAATATAATAATTAAAAAAAAGAATAAATTTGCTTTTTATTTTATAAAAATATTTAAATCTTTAATAGCTATATTAATGCTAGCTATTAAAATAAACTTTAATAGCTAAAAAAATATAATTAATAAATATATTATTAAGTAAATCTTAAAAATATTTAAAGCTTTTATAAAAAAATAAAAGTTATAATAAAATAAATAAGCAAGGAATTAAAGATAATAATAATAATTAAAATTATAATAAGGTAAATTTTAAAACTTAAAGGCTTAATTAAAGATAATAAAGTTTTATTTTAATAATCTTTGCAATATTTATTATAAAATGCTTAAAAAAAGGTATATTAATAAGTATAAGGAATTATATAAGAAATAATATTATATTAAATTTTAATTAATTATAAAAAGCTAGCTTTTATACTTATTTTAAATATTCTTTTAAGAAATTAACTTTTTTCTTTTTTTATATATTTAATGCTTTAATTAAGCTTTTTTTATTTTTTAGAATTTTTAAAATATTTATTTTTTTCCTTTTTTTAATTCCCTTTTATTTCTATTTTTTCTCTTTATTGCATTAAAGCTCCTCTTTAAGTTATCCTTAAGAGGGTTTAGTAAAACCTATCCCTTATTATTTAAGTAGCTTATTTTTAGTATAATTATACTTATTAATAGTTTAGCTATATTAATTAACTATAAATTAATTCCTTATTACTTAAAAAGTATATACTTTTCTTTAAGTATTATAAATCTTGCCTTTTAATAGTAATAAAGGAATAATTGCTTTTTAATATAAATATTATTAATATAAAGGTTTAAAAAACTTACTTCTTTTTTATATATTGCCTTAAGGTTAAAAAATACCCTTAAATTAAAAGGTTATAATATATATAAGATATATAGCAATAAATAAAGGTAATAAATCTTATATAAAAAGCATTTTTATATAAACTTTAAAGTATAATAGCTTTTATATTTATTTATTATTAATAAATACTATTCTTTAAGGGCATTTAGCTTTATTTAAAAGATAAAGATCTTTTATAGCTATTTAAGTATTATAATATTATTTATTTAATTATTTAATATTGCTATAAACTCTTAATTTTTATAACTTTTAAAAGTTTTAAATTATTATTATTAAATTAACTTCCCCTTAAAAATAATAAGGAAAGGGTATGATTTACTTATTATAAAGATATACTTAAAGAAAGAAATTTATATGCATAACTTATAACTTTCTTAAGTAATAACTTTTCTTTCTTTAAGTTTTAAAATAATGCTATTCTTCTTTTTGCCCTTAGCTATACTCTTTTTATTAATATTATAATAATTTTTTAAATAAATATTTATAATTATTAATAGCTAAAGAAAGTTAAATTATTCCTTAATTATATTTATTTTTACTTTATTTATTTAGCTTAAAGTTATTTAATAGCTTTATATACTTTAAATCTTAAGATTTTTAATAAAAAAAGCCTTTAGCTAATATTTATTAAAAAGTAATTAATATTTTTAAAGAGTAGCTACTTAAGTTATAAAAAACCTTATTTTAAAATATATTATTAATAGCCTTAATATTACTTAATTAATTACTTAATTAAATAAGCATATTTCTTAAGTTTATAATAATCTTATTTAAGATTTTAAGGTATTTAAATAGCTTTAAGTATTATAATAATAATTATAAAATATAATTCTTAAAATGCCTTAATATAAAAAGGCCTTTTAAATATTAGTGCTAATTTAAATTACCTTAAGTGCTATATTTATATTTTCTTTTATATATAGCTTTATAATTAATGAATAATAATGTATTAAAAGTTTAAAGAAAAGAGAAAATTCCGTTATAAAGAAAACGCGTAATATGTAATGGGGTGGACTTAACGCGCACGCGGGTGTGAAGTGGGCTGAATCAGGGGGTGGGCCGAATGTGCAGACCCTGACTTAGATTCCGCCAGATCTGTTCACGCTGTTCTGTTAGCAAAGGCCCATACTTTATCCCGAGCGAAACTCTTGACTGGAACGCGGTATCCATCGTTCCCAGACGATTAGTAGTCAGAAAAACGATCCCACGATAATATTCCAGCATCCGCAGAAACACTATTGACAAGAGGATGTCGTTAGATTCAATATTCATTCAGCTCTGACACGTAAGACGAGATGGGAAAGATAAAATTCTCAATCAAAGGCGTGTCCATAGCCACATTGTTCAAGTGTGGAGGAATGCTTACCGGATACGATTGCATTCCGTGCATGGTTCTCCCATGATCTCTTTTCAAGCACGCCGTCAGCTTCGTCTAGAAGCAATACGGCACCCCATCGGACAGCTTGCTCAAAGATTGTTCTCAGGCGCCTGTCGACTTCTCGCTCAAAGGCAAGCTGGCCAACATCCACCGTCAGCAGCGGCTTCTCCGACACCTCAGCCATGCTCTCTGAAAAAGCCTGATGTAAGTCCCTATCTTTCACAATAGGCGCTCGAAAGAACGTACCAGCTGTCAGCGTCTTGCCAACGCCCGGCGGACCATGTAGCACAATGACCAGACCCTGAGATGGTCAGCTTTTTGTTAGGTATGGAATGGCTTGGGAGTATTTTACCTGACCCTTGCCCTCAATGATATCGCTCGGTGCGTTGTTCGCATCTGCACTCATGTGTGCTTGGATCAACTTCGCAAGTGTGTCCTTGGTCTTAGAATCTGCCATCACAAGAGCCTTCGCGGAGTCTTTTGCCCACACAATCTCTGTTAGATTTTCTATGGTGACAGTGAACCACCTCATTGTGAGAGGCGAACACGCTCTCACCGTACTCGGACAAAACTGCGCTGGAAGGGCCGAAGAGTCGTCTGAAGGGTCCTGTTCGTCCTGGAAATCATCAGAGCCTTCGGTATCTACTGAAAGCGCGTCTTGGGATATCCTCGAGCTAAGAAAGCGGCTGTCACGCTGCTCTCGGTAAAGTGCATATCCAGAGTGGTCGATAATGAGCCGTTCGTCAAGCTAATTTGATACTGAGTCAACGTTCTGGGTCATGTGTGAGTAAGTGTGGACTAACATGTTTGCGTGTTCCGCCATTGGCTCCGTCCAACTTTCTGGCTGGACCCTTATGAACCATATATGAGGGCTGAGTAACAAGGGATTTCCATCGTCGACCGCGTGCTTCCAAGCTGGCGAGGAGATCTTGCCTGTCTTCTGATACGTATCGCAACGGATAAACGTCGAGGTCTGAAATACGACGAGAACCAGCGTAAAGGTAGATTATAACCTTCACTTCCACGGTTTTGAATGCTTGGACTGATGAATCCCAATCCTGATGCAACAGTGTGAGCTGAAAGGCCATTTGAGGACGACCGTAGGAGGACCTATGATATCTATTGCTGAGCTCAGCATATTCTGTAAACGAAACAATATGAAGCTGCGGCTGCTGGAACTCATCCCGAGTATAAACAGTGTCGTTGGGCTGGTAGAGCGCCCATAGGAGGTCAAAGGTCACATAGCCAGAGTTGATGGTGTTTCGGATATCAACATGCTGCGCTAAAAGATTCTTTTCGTACCAGCGCCGCAAAATGTCCAGATCTCGAGAATCATCCCCTTTGAGGCTTCCTGAGTCACTTGCATCCGGGAGGATATTGTCGTAGAACCAGTATAATAGACTGAAAGGTTCGCCGAATGATAGTGAATCATGTCGCTTCCTTATACCCATTGGATTTGTGCGAGGAAGGATTCCCATGATGACCGATACCAAGAATCGGCTTTGCACAGTCACCTGCATAGTACCGTCGTACCAAGAGACCAGTAAAGCAAATTTAGCAGTTGAGACCGTAGGCGATTTGTCCCAGAATGCCTCGTCGATTGTATTTTCAATCCCCCTCTCGTCTGTGGTGACGATGCCCACTCCTGTCAATATGGTGGACTCGGGCATCGCCTCATTAATCCGCTGTATGCTTTTTCTTGATGAGATGGACTCATGTAATTGCCCACCAGTTGGAGAAATTTCTGAGTCTTCCTCCGCCCCTGGCATCTTCAAATAATTCCCACCGCTTTTCATGGGGGTTGAGCTGACCGTTAGCAGGAAATTAGCCGCATGTTTTTTTTTCAGATCCTGTGCCACATTAGAGGAATTGTACCTACGAATCCGGAATGTTGCATGATCGCGACGCTCCATGGTTCAATGGAGAATTTGTAGGCAGCACGGCACTGGGAAACTGCCTGCTTGCTAAACGCGCGACCAACGTGCTCTTCTTGGGTGGTGGAGGTGGTTGTTGCCTTTTAGTCGGCGCGACTGCGGACTTTTGCATAACGTCCCCGGCCCAGATTCCGGCCCCCCCCCCCCCTGATTCCGGCCAGCCGTTTTCTGGTGCACTGGCACTATAAGATACCCACTTTTCAACCTTTTATAATAAATCCAAATTAAATCCCAAAACCCTAACCCTAAATCCAAAATAAAGGATTTTAAATATACTTTTATATAAAGATATATTTAAAAATATAAATTTACTTTAATAATTTTAAAATAATTTTTAAAGTTAAATTATTAAAAATATTAAGATTTATATATATAATATAAGAAGTTTTTAATAACTTATATTTCTTAATTTTATACTTAATCTTTTAATAAAATAAATATAATTAAGTTTTATTATATATAATAAATTTATTATTATAAAATAATAAAGTTTTTTTTTATATTAAAAATTTTAATAAAGAAATATTAATAAATTTATCTTTTCCTTATATAAAAAAATATAAGAAAATATAAATTTATAACTTTTAATATAATATTTTTTAATATTATATAATATATTAATTTCTTAACTTATATTTTAAAAAATAAAATTTTACTTAATTTTATTAAAGAAATATTTACTTAAAAGTAAATGTTAATATTATAACGGGTTTATGTATTGCAAACGCTAAGCACTATTATAGCTAAGCCTAGTTAGATAAAAAAAAAAGAAAGAAAAGGTATAAAAGCTAAATTGCCTAAATTCCAATAATAAAATACTAAAAACCTTAGGTTTTAGGCTAAAACCCAAAACCCTTACCTTAATAAGTTATACTTATTACATTACCTCCTTTTTACCTCCTTTTTAAATTCTATTTATTATATTTAAAGGCAATAAAAAATTATCCATAGGTAGTAAAGACTTGTTTATAAGGCCCTTCCTATAATTATAAATACCCATTAAAATCACCGCTTTCCGCTCCTTTCCTTCCTCCTATTAATAATATATATATTAAATAAGTACCTTAAACCTAAAATTATAATTTCTAACCCTTAATAATTAATATCCAAAGCTTTTTAATTAAAAATTAATAATTCCTAAAATTAAAAACTTGCTATTTATTATGCCATTTACTATTATTTATTTAGTTAAATTTAAGAATTAAGTAAGTTTTTAATTTTTATAATTTTTAACGGTTTTTATTTAATTTCCTAATATTTTCTTAAGAAAATTAATATAAATATTTCCCTTACTTTTTTAATAGCTATAACTATAATTTTACTATTAATAAAAATAGCTAAACCCTAAAGGCTTATAATGATTATTAAAAGGAAAAGCATATAATTTTTATGGAAAAATTATTAAAATTTAGCTAATTATTTTTAATTACTTATAATATAATTCTCTTACTTATCCTTACCTATTAAGAAAAGCTTAAGAATAACGGCATTAATATTATTAAAATCTATATAATAAGATTTTTATTAATTTTTAAGGAAAGATTATTAAAATCTACTAACTTTTCTAAAATGCTTACTTTAAGAAGCTTTACATTATATATTATGCTATATTAAAATACAAGGAAATAAGCATTTTCCTACCATAAGTTATTTTCCCTTTAATTTTTAAATATTTTTTAATAAAAATAATAATCATACTCTTATTTATTTTATTAACTTAATAGTTTAATATATTAATATTAATAATTAAAACTTTTTTAATATATTTTACTAGGTTTTCATAAGTTTTTATTTAAATTTTAAATTTAAATAACTTAAGTTTTAATTAATTAATTTATAAGTTAATAATGCTTTTGAATTAAAAAAAAGGATTTCTTACCTTTATGTTTTGCTTTATTATTATTTTAAATATTATAAAGATATTCTTAAAAATCCACCGTTTTTCCTCAAAATTTAATATTTTTATATATTATTACCATAAATCATTCCTTTAAGAGCTACCTTTTACGCCTCCCTTAATTAATTAATAAAGCTTATACTTTATTTTTTATAAATATATACTTTATTTCCTTATACTTTATTTCCTTTAAAGGTAAAAAGCATATAAAAATAAATCCTATTTTCTTGCCGCTATGGGTTCCATTCCCTTTATTTAAATGCCGTAAAATTATCCCTAAATTTCGGATTTTTCTTAACCTTATTTAAAATTTTACCTCTTTTATTCTCTTTTTTTTCTTTCTTATTTTCCTTAGCATTAAATATATCCTTAATATCCTTTAAAAAGGAGTATATTTAAATATGCTATTTCCCCCTTTATTTCCTTATATTCTTTTTTAATTGCTTATATTGCAATTTACCTCCTTTTTACTAATAATTATATATTATATAATTAGCTAGGGGCTTATTAGCTCTTTATGGGTTTTTATATTTATATTTAAAGTTATTTTAAGCTATAATGTTTATTAAGTTTTTTAGGTTAGTTTAGTTAAATTTTCTATACTTTATTTATTTTACTAAGCCCTTTTTCTTAAATTTCTTACCTACTTGCTTTAAGTATATGTAAAGTAACTTCTTTATTAAGTACTTTTAATGTTTATTAATTATTATTATGGGTAGTTAAACTCCTTTTAAATTTAATTAAGTAATAAGTTTAAAGTAATATATTATAATAACTTTATATAAATCTTAATATACTTTTTATTTAAAAATTTAAATATTTTTATAATTAAAGGGGATATTATATATTTTATGTAAAATTTTGCATGTTTTTAGTTAAATTTCTTTTTATGCTAAAGAAATCTATAATTTTTTAAGTTTACTTAAACTAGGTTTCTTGCTTAAAATTATATTATTAAGGTTTTCTTATAATTTATTATAAATTCTTAGGTTTGCATAATAAATATTATAATAGCTTAATATAAATTTAAGATTTATTAAAGCTTTTTTATAAATACCTTTGCTTTTTTTTTAATAAGGTAATTAAATAGGTTTTTTATTTAATGGTTTTAAATATTAAAATAATAAAATTAGGTTAATAATTATAAGTTATAAAGAAGGCTAATATTTTTATATTAATATTTATTTAATTATTTAATGCTATTTATATTGTTAGTACCTATTTTACTTAATTTTCTTAATTTTTAAAATTAATAAAAGCTAATAAATAAGCCTTAATTTCTTAATTTATTTTCTTTAATTCTTTATTTATTTTTAATTAATATATTATATTAAGCTATTAATTAATTTATAATAATTAATAAATATGCTTTTAAAATTAGCTTATTTAATTTAAGCCTTAATTAAAGGTAATTATACTTAGCTATTAATAATATCTTATTTAATATTATATAAAGTGCTTAGCATATGCTTTTATATTTATAAAATGCATAAGTTTTAATATAATTTCCTTGCTTAAATAATTGTAAATTACTTAAAAATATTAATAATCTTAAGAAATAGGAATATTTTTAAATTTATCTTTTTTTAAGTTAGGTAATTTTATAATGAAATTTATAGCAATCTTTTAATAGTATTAATTGGGAATTAATAAGGGTTTTAAAAGTGCTTTTTTAATTTCTTTTTATACCTTTACTTTCCTATAGGTATTATAATTTCTTAAGAATTACCTTACTTTTTATTATAATAGCGATTAATAAAAATGCTAGCTTATAATGAAAATTATTCCTTTTTTCTTAAAATGCTTATTAATGTTAAAGTTATAAATGCCTTAAATAATCTTTATATATAAAATATTAGTTTTTAAGTTTTTTAAGTTAATATTTTTATATTTATCTTTTATTATAATTAATACTCTTGGGATTTATAGTTTATTATAGTGTTTTAAGTATTTCTAAGGATTAATACTGTATTTAGTTAATTAAACGCAAAGTTTAAGATTTAAGTTTAATTTATAATCCCTTTATAAGATTACCTTATATATTATTATATATTTTTAATCTTTAAATATGGCTTTTAATTATAATTATTATAAATTTAAATTATTAAAAACTTAAAGATTTTTTAGCTTTATACCCTTTTTTAATTAAATAATATTAAAGCGTTAATAATTAAGGGTATTTTTTAATATTATTTAAATAATTCTTGCTTCCTTATTTATAAATATTATTTAATTTTAATTCCTTTAAAAAAGGATATTAAGTATTAATGCTTTTTTACTTAGCTTATATATTAAGTTAAATAGAAAGTTTATAAGAAGTTTTATATATTAAGCTTATTTTTTTAAAAGTTATTATTTTATTATAAAATATTTTAAATTCTTATAATTAAAGAAAATAGTAAATTAATTTATGCTTTTTAATTTTATATATTATTAATAAAAATAGTTTATAATTATTAGCATTTCTTTATTAATAATTTAATAATTATATTTAATTATTATTAACTTTTTTAAATAAAAGGCTATAAATTTTAGCTAGTTATTAATTTTATAAAATAATACCCTTTTTAATCCTTAATTATTATAATTAGCCTTTAAAAATATCTTTTTATTTAAAAATCCCATTATATTAAAATTAAGGCCTATATAAAGGCTTTCTTAAGCTTATTAAAAGCTTTTTAATAATTTTTTATTTATTAAAATAATATACTCTTTTTAATTAATATTATTAATAACGCGGCTTTTATAAACTAATTTTTAATAAATATATAATAAAAGTTAGTAAAACTTAGAAAGCTTTATATTCCTTTAATTAAAGTAAGTGCTTTTTATTTTAATATTATATATATTTTCTTAGGATTTAATATAACTTTTATGCTTATTATTATAATAAATTTTAAGTATTTAACCTTTTTTTAAGCAAATTTATACTTATTTAAGTTTAAATAAAGTTTATTTTTTGCTAATTATTAAAATACCTTTTATATAGTTTTTATATACTAATTATAAGTTTTGCTAATATATATTAAGATATTATTTATATAAGCTAAGCAATACTTATTTAATAAATTATATAAAATGGAATTAATATATTATTAAAATGTAATAAGGGCGCTATAAAGGTTAAAAAGCATAATTAATTACTTAAAAAGCTTATATTTTATTTAAAAAGCTATTTTTTATTTATAACCTTTTTTTACTTAAATCTTATAAAATGCTTAAATAATATTTATCTTAATAAATTAATAGGCTTTTATTAAATTCCTTAAAGTTTTTAAAATTAAGGGTAATAAGTATTAATTTATTTTTATAATTTAATTTAATATCTTATAATTATAGCAAAATTATAAGCCCTTGCTTAGTTTTTAAATAAAGATTATTAAGGACCTTGCTTTACTACTATTAACTTTAATAAAGCCTTTATTTAAGAGGTTTTTAAGGGTTTTTTTAAAAATTAAGAATTTTTCTTAAGATATATTATAAATTAGCTTAAAAGAAATAAATACTTTCTAATTCTTTTTATTAATTTTAAGGTTAATTTTATAATTTATTTTAAGTTTATAAAAGTTAAGCTTATTTATTTTCTTTTTTATAAAAAGTAAAAGCATATTATAAAATTTTAAAGGGATCCTTGCTTAAAACTTTTCTTTTATAGGTAGGATTTTTATATATAAGGCTTTATTTATATTCTTTAAGGAAATAATAAATATTATAAGTTTTGCTATAAATTTCTTATAATTCTTTTTAATTCTTTAAAGATATATTATAAAGATTAATTTAATAATTTAAGTTATTACCTTTAGCTCTTTTAACTTATTTAAATATAATTATTAATTTATATAAGGAATTTAATAATTTACTCTTTTATATTAAATCCTTTTTTTTAATAAGAGATAAAAAAAGCCTTATTTATTATTAATTATGGCTTTCTTAAAATTAAGGGGAATTTTAAGTTTAAAATAATATAAATATAAATTAATTTTTAATAGCTCTTAGTTTTTATAATAAATTTTATAATCCTTTTAATAATTGCTTTAATAATTCTTAATATAATACTTTTTAAAGTTTATAGCTATATAAATATAATAAAAATGCTTATTTTATATATTATTTCTTTATTAATTATAATAAAATACTTATATCCTTTATTTATAAAGGTAATTTTTAAATTTATATTATTAATAATTATATAAATAAGTATAAATTTTAATTTTAATATATTTATTTTTATTTATACTTAAGTATTCTTTATATGTTTTATAGCTTATTTTTATTTTAAGGCTATTCTTTTTTTAGCTTAAATATATTAATTTTATCTTTTTATTTATTAAAAAAATTTAATTTAATTACTTAAGCTAAATTAAAATAGAGATTTAAATTTTCTAAGTTATAATTTAAATTTAAGGGTAAAGTATAGAAATACCCTTTTTAAAAGTAACCTAATGCTTTATACCTTTCATACCTTTTACTTTAAAAATAAGCCTTCCTTTCTTCCTTAAAAACTTACTTTACTTATTAATGTTTTTAAAAGCTGCTTATTATAAGATATTTTTTATTTTACTCCTTATAATTTCCTTTCTTAGCTATATAATTTATTCTTATTAAGGTATTTCCTTTAAAATCCAAGGCTAATTTTTCTTTATTCTTTAAGGATTATAAATTAAAGTCCTTATAATTTAAATTAAAAGTAATAACAATTAAGGCAAAATTTTTATATCTTTGCTAATATTAATTTACAAGTAATTTAAACTTTTTTATTTATTTAAATTATTAAGTTACTTATTAAATTACCTTTATATATTCTTTAAATGCTATAAAAAGCAATATAATTATTAATTTATTCTTTAAAACTTTTAATATTCTTTAATATAGCTATATTATATAGGATTTATTATCCTATGCATACCCTTTAGCTCTTATTAAGGCGCTTTTAAAATTCATAAAAAACTTATTAAAAGGCTGGCTATTTCTTTACCTTAATTTAATTAAGTTATCTTGCTTTTTTTTCTTATATATAATTATGAAAAATATGCAATTTATATAAGTAATTAGTTTTTATAAGTTAAAATCCTTATTTATACTTTTATTTTCTTAAAATACTTAAATTTTAAACTTTTAATTACCTTTTAAGCATTAATATATTTTATATTAAGCCTTTTGCTTTTTATTTATATACTTAGCAAGCCTATTAATAAAAAGTTTTAAGATTAAAAAAGCTTAAAAATTAATATATTTATTTAATTTATTATTTTATATAAGCTATAAAAAAGCCTTTTATAAAAAACTTATAAGCATAACCTTAAAGTTAATCTTAAGTATTATCTTTAATTTACTAAATATATATTTATTATTATTAAAAACTATTAAAATTTAATTAAGAAATAATAAAGTAAGGGTAATTATAAGGTATAATTGCATTATTAATATTAAATAAAAAGGTGCTTATAGCTAATTTATTAATTTAATAAATTCCTTTAATTTTTATATAATTCCTTTTATTATATTAGCAGCTACCCTTAATATGCTTTTAGCTACTTATTATATAATATTATTTAATAAACTTTAATTTTATATAATTACTTATATTACTTAGTTAAATATTAAATTTTAAATTATATATTATAAAAAGTTAATTTCTATATTTAAAAATCCAAATCTTAATAAGTTTACGCTAATGCTTAATACATTATTAAAGTTTCTTTTTAATTTAACGCTTTTTAATAGTTTTCCTAACATTTTTCCATAAGGATCTTCTTTACAATAAAAATCATAAAAGATCTTAAGGAAATCCAACTAATTATAACGAGTTTATATATTATAAACGCTAAGCATTATCATAACTAAGCCTAGTTAAATAAAGAGAGAGAAAGAAAAGGTATAAAAGCTAAATTGCCTGAATTCCGGCAATAAAATGCCGGAAACCTTAGGTTTTAAGCTAAAACCCGAAACCCTTACCTTAATGGGTCACACCCATTACAAATATTTCCATATAAAATATTAAGAATCCTTAATATTTAAAGCCTTTAACTTTTAAAAAATATTTTAAAAATAATAAAACTATAATAGATTTTTTTAAGTATTCTTTTTATAATCTTCTTTTAAAATAATATCGTTTAAGCTTAGGGTTAGGGGTTTTGGATTTAATTTGGATTTATTATATGGGTTTGAAAAGTGTGAGTTTGTGTGGGAAAGGCGGCCGGAATCGGGGGGCGGCCGGAATCCGGGTGTGCTTCGCGGTAATCTCCGACGATGGCTCCAGGCGTGCCAGTCTTCTGTCGCCTGGACTGCCTTCCTTTTAAGTTGTCTTCAGGCCTCCGAAATTATGTTCTCATCGACCCGTCTTACCTGAAAAGCCCAAATTTCTTGAGACATGGATACGACCTCTAACGTCCCCGGCCTCAATCTCGTCCGACTCTCACATGCAGAACCCAAAGCCCATCGAGATCTGACCGCCGGAAGTGAGCTATTGTAAGTTGCATACTGCTGTGCTACCTGTGACACAATGGCCGTGCCGGGCAGCCTGATCTGATAGCTGGTAAAAGCAGGTGTCCACGCGAGGCTCTGCTGAACACCATCTCGTTTCAGCTTCAAGATCAGCAAAAGTTCCTGCGGTATTCCCGGTGTATGAATCAGCCCGGGCTCATTTGCGTAAGTCCACAGCCACATACTGTCGGCTTCCGTGTGCTAGGAGTCGTGGCTTGCCACTATTTGTCAAATAGTCATACTGAAGCCGACATGCACCGCGCTATCACGTTGCAGCATGCAGAATGCAAGTGGTGAGCGGTAATCGGGTCCTTCCGATTTTGAAACATCTTAGCGATCTCAAGAAAAGAGCGGTATTACGAAGCCTACGTAAGAGCGTGGCCATCCTCGATTTTTTGAGGTCTATGACCTCAAGTCGGGATCCCAGCAAACGAGAACAGATCCGTCCACCCTCGGTGCTGTTCAGAATTTGGTCAAGCTGGCTCTGATCTTTGTGCACTATGCAAGCCAATAACACGTTGAGTGCTTGGTACACAGCCGGCAGCGACTCCGGGTCGGTCTTTCATGGTTATCTTCATGTTCACTGTTTCACATGACACCGAAGCTCCGTCCTTCACCATTTCCTCCAAGCTGCTTGGTCTAATCTTTTCTTCTTTTTCATATGCATAGAAAGTGCTCAGACTGATTAGGCATTCTAGCCATTATGCATCCGCCCTCGAGGCCTGTCGAACCTCCAGACTGCGGTTGACAAACATGGACTTAACTACCGAGGAGGAGGACCTTTTGTTCAAACCTCCTAGTGACGGCGTCGAAGTCAAAGTCAGGATCGAGCTTGTCTTGATGGACATGCAGAAACGCGAGAAGCGGCCTGAGTGGTTGGAGAAGACGCGTCACTTCTTCCACGGCTTTTGCAAGGTTGTCGACAGGACATCTGCGCTGGTTCAACCGATGCTACCGCAGAGTCCTGAGTACACTGTCACCTTCGGACTGCTTATTCTTTTGTTTCGCGTAGGTTTATCCAGAAAAGACAACCCTGCAGTACCCTACCTAGCCACTAAACATACTCAAATGCCAGGCGGTTGCAACCAAGAATGACAGGGAGGAGGCTTTGATGGAGCACCTAGACAAACTGGCCGCCAAGCTCCCAGTCGTTGACTTCTACAACAACACGTTTCCTACTGCCAAGATGAAGCTCACCGTTTCCAAGTTGTATGCTGAAGTCATGAGCTTCTTTGATAATGCTCTGAGTTATTATCACGGCGGACGTCTAGGTTTGTACTCAGTCAAAGATGTATGGATTCCGTTGTGCGACAATGCTCTGATCCAGAGACACAGCGAAGCTCGCCGATGCATTGTTTCGCACGAAGCCCAAGTTTGAAGAGTCCATTGCCATGATCGAGAAGGAGGTCAACAAAATGCTTGACCTAAAGAATGTCGCCCACGAAGCGCAGACAGCAGACATCCAGGTGATTGTCACCAAGATGGAACAAGGTTCGGATCGCCGAGATACTCTTGAGTTGGTGCCCATGCAACATACTGATGATTATGAAGATGTTGCCACGCTACTGCAGGACGGGGCACAGAAATCTCAGGCCAAAGAGATCCAGGAAGTCCTTAGCCGTACTGGAAAGGGTAAGTAAATTCGAGTGCCACTGCTATGACGAGAATTCCGGCCTGCTGACAGATGCACCAAGATCTCGTCCGGCTCCAAGAAAGTATGCACTACATTGGTACTGCTGCCAGCTTCGGCCTAGAGACTCTACACCAGCGGATTTTGAAGTTCGACTCGACAATGACCCGTAAGACTCAATCTACCTCTGTCTCGGACTTATCTATCTGGGACTCGGAGTCCTTTGAGCTAATTGAACGTAGAGGTGCAAATGCACAGCATGATCACTCATGCGCAAAGCTTGCAAGATGTGGTCATAACTTCAGGCCCCGGTGCATACTGGGACGCTGGTGAGGCTCTTGCCAGACTCTCGGCCCGGGGCTTCCGTCTATCCCAAAAAGATCGCTGGGAGAACAATGGCATTCTCGACGAACTTCTGGAATGGTCCAGCGCACCAACCTCGATATTGTGGATCGGCGGCTCCTGCGGGAACCAGGAAAGCTGGGTCACGGATTTGTCCCTCGACATTGCCCATACCCTGCTGTCCCACCGGGTAAACGTAGTCTACATATTCTGTTCTGATGTCCTGGAGAATTCTCAAACTCTTACGCCAAAGCGACTAGTGCAGATACTGGCTTGCCAGCTTCTCGAGATGCATCCCGAAATCCCGTATGAGAATGCTTCGTACTTCAGCCTGACACGACTCAGAAACACAAGGACGTTCTCAGGCATCTGGCAGATATTCGAGCGCTTGGTCATGGGCCTGGGCGAGGTATTCATCCTTATTGACAAAATCGAATCTTGCGTTGTGGACGATACTGCTGACTTGAGGAACGATTTGATCCCGTCCATGTTACGACTGGCAGAGAAGGCTCCCGGTGTAAGAGGGATTGTTACCAGTGTGTATGAAGCACCTGAGTACGATGGGATGGAACAGGTTTATATCGATACAGCGCGCCGCCCAGCGATTGCCAAAGCATAGTTGCGTTGCGGAAATTTGCGAGCCAAAATGACCAACCCGGAATATGAGTGGTAGTATGAATGCGATTAGGCCGTAGAAACATCATGTCGAGCCAGCGATGCAAGAACAGACCAAGTCAATATTGAAACATGCTTAAGCCGTGGTCGTTCACGGTTTTCACGTCCGCGAGCTTCTTTTCACACATAGGGAATGTTAGGCAATGGGCTTGAATGAGAATCGAATTCCTATGAAATGAATGTGCCGAGACTAATTATAACGGAAGTCTTCGTTCTTGCACACAACGAGTGACTGGTCGATTTCTTGGTTGGAAGTCCATCAAACCATCCTTTCCCTGGACTTAATCGTTCAATCATTACACATCAAATTTACTCGTCCGTGACCAAGTCACATCCGTAGGTCCCCGAGCATCCAGGGCACAGGATGTTGCCGTTGACGTCTCCGCATTTCGCACCGTCTCCACCCCCAGTACCGACGCACTGCTCCCATGTCAGCTATCTCACCCTCACAGTAGACGGAAATCATTGTCTCTTTGGGATCCTCTTCTGACTTACAGATCCAACATTGCACGGCATATTAGCGAGGCCAAACCGGCAGGAAGTCCCGTTGCATTCCTAAACAAGAGAAAGGTTAGCCGTCGGGTTGGGGAAGAACAATGTACGAATTTCCTGCGACTGTTACGTACACCGGTTGAAACGGTTCGCTTCTCTTTGCCCTGCTCGGAGGAGGGGGCGGCAGCGCCAAAGGCGACAAGGGCCATGGAAACGGCAATGAGCTTGGTGAAGTACATTTTGAGGATCGTTCGAAAGCTTGGACAAGTGCAATGTCTTGAATGTGTATATACAAGAGCTGGCAGGTGCGTGATGAAAGTCTGAGGTGATGCTGAATATCTAGAATTACCGCTGACTGAAGAGAAAGAGGCCGTCTATTTATACTCGTTTCCTGCTGACTCTCGATGCTGTAAAGAGCTACTTGGGCACCTACCTAGGTAGGCAACCATCTCAACAGACGCAGTGTGAGGACTTGATACACATGCCGCGAGGCTGAGCTGTAGCATTTACACTCCGCCGGGTACAATGTTGTTAGCTCGGCACTTCTGTGGGTCAGCAACTCGCAGGTATCTGCACATCAAACCTCTGCCTAAGATGTACTTATCTACACGAAAAACGTATATCTCTTTAACAGAAGTTGTGACCGCTTGCTGTCCTTAGAACTTTGCTTCTTTGGGTGCCTGAGAAGTAATTATTGACTGAGAGTATTGATATATGATTATTTAAGTGTGAAGAAAGTAATGGGTACCTTGCGGCGAGTACAGGGATAGGGTAATGTGAAAGTCCTGAAGACAATATCAATCCCGGCGGAGTATAGAACGAGTGTTCTGCCGCTTCCAGTGTCGTACAGGCTGAGATACTCTGCGAAAAGCTGTTCTTAGACACGCACCTGGTCCACATATTTGCTCAACTCGGTGGAGAACTGCGAACTACAAAAAACCCCTGTTTCCTTGCTGCCCGCCCTTCTCTTCAGGGTTTTGATCTGCGGTAGGAGGATTGGACAGCCGCGATGGGACCTTAAGCCATTGGCCACGAGGCTCGGTTATAAAAATTCGGATCGTGAATCGGCAGTGATAGACAGTCGATCTCAGCCTTTCCAAAGCTACATTAGTCACGGAAGGATTTTGTGGATACTGTAAGCTGACTGTCTAACCTCACGATTACACCCACTGGCAGTGGGGACTCCTCGGATTTCAATCATTGCGACCAATTACGTTGCGAAAGACGCGAGGCTTCAGTCTGTTGGACAATACGTGTCAAACATTCAATCCGCCTGGTATGGAGATCCGTAAGCTTAGAAGGTCTCGAGGCAGCGTTCCGACTTCGGGAATCTTCCCGACTTCCGCTGGTCAGCAAAAACTGCTTATTGAGGAAAACATATTTCGGTACGCATCTGCAAACCGAAGAGGATCTGAATGAGTCATTGATACAATGAGGAAAGATCCCTAGAACAACGTTCCATATATCGCGATGAGGTATACGTCTCAACACCGAGCGGGACTCAGCCATAAGGTACGATCTTTTTTGACCAGCTGACTGGTCTGGATTTTACGCGCGGATGACTGTCTGCTCTATTCTGAGCTCCATGCGTGTCGGTACGGCTCGTGCTGTACATTCCTTTGATGGCCATGTCGGCAGTCGTCACCCTGCCCTCGGGATTTACGATGATCTCAAACCTATTGGGAATAGCGCTGCGCCTTTATTGCAAGAATAGTACTATACCACCTTGAGAGCTATTCTGCCGTTGTTGCAGCCCGAGTAAGCGGAATGGATGGCAACCTATTGTCCGCAATCGTCTCTCGTCCACGAAGTCCAATTTCCCCCGGCTTCTTATTTCACCGCCGTCTTTGACTGTGCTCAAACCAAATGGCAACAGAATCTCCCTGAATTAGTTGAACTGATCATATGTGGGCATGACATTCATCTTGTGTCTCATGAGAGGTGTCTAGACGGTCATGTCGTGGACGTGCTGTTTCGCCCCCCCCCCCCAGCCAGAGACGAAAAGTGTAGGAGTAGAGCGTGTGAATCTCATGAATTGCCAGACAGTGATTATGCAGAGGTTTCGAGTCCAAGCTTTCACTACATTATCCAAATTCGGTTCCATATTTATGGAATCCCATGCTGTTCGCCGCCCATGGGCACTTCATGCTGGTCACGTGGCCCAATTCGATCTAAGCCTATTTGACTTGCTGACATCAATGCCAGAACAGTCAAGTAACTTGTCCGCTCATCTCAATTGATAGTAAAGGCGCTCAATACTAAAACAGATTCGAGAATGGACTGAGATTTTCTTCGCAAACCGTCCTTGTAACCCCCAATCGTATCATTCTGTTGTAGCTTCCGCGCGAGAATCGCTAGTTATGCACTGAAGGCAAAATACGTTCTAGACGGTACACAGTGAGTTTTCTCACCCTTCACATGGGGTACCTTTTGGTCTCTCCGTGACAGTCTGTTGCTCATCTTTTCCATCAGAACTTACGCAACTATTCAAATAATTCAATTCTTCTAAACTTAGTCTTACTGATATTCATTCCCTCCGCCAAAGCGCCCGTGTTGATGCAAATACCTCGGCGTGGCTGCAAGTTGAAGGCGATCAACAGGTGCGTCGTTATCTAGGAAAGCCTTGCTTACCTTTGAAAGTACCGTCGACTTCCGGATCTGGGAACCCCAATTTTGCACTTGAGTGCCTTGAGCTACTTCAGAGGGATGATTGGAACGTGCCAAATGTCGTCCAGCCTCTAACGTGGCTTGGGCTCCACAATACCCCTCCCACAACGGGATTACTGAGCACGCGACCCTCCATCAGAGACAAACGCCTTGAATGGCTCTCTATCAGCCCAATCAGTGAAGCCCGCCTACTGGGCCGAAGCGTCGGTCCAGTCTTGGTACAGTGCAGGGAAGCACAAACTTAACGACTGCAATTACTGCCTGTCTATCTTGGAATCTTCTGAATCAGGAAATAGAATCGTGAATGTGTTGGGGAAGGCTACCCGGCGTATGACACAGGGAGTGAGCACAGTAAGCGACGGCGGATGACTATTAGACACCAAGCTTCATCTGGGCGAGGCTGCATGACCGGGGAGATTCCGCCGATTTTTATCCCAGGCTACCCCAGCACAGTGTAAGGCTGAGATAAGCGAAACTCGGGTGCAGAGGCCGGATTGATAGTGAAAGCTGCCCGGTGTGAACATTCGTCGCTTAGCATTTTCAATGATTATCATTATGTAAGAACTTCCATCAACCCTAGAAGACTTTGATCTATCGGTCACACTGAATGTCCTTCACTATCGAATCCAGGTCATTACCCTGCAACCAGCTATGCCGTTATCTTGTTTTCATCCAGGGTTATAGTGTTGATCGGGGGCCAATTGCTAGCATAGTTTTCCAGACCAGATGAGCAGACACCCTCCGCGAAAAGTGAAGCACAATACTCCTCGATGCTTCAAGGGTCAGAAGAAGACAGACGTGCATGAAGAATGACCACTCCAGCCCATCACATGTGCAACTAACTTGCATGTTCTCGCCAGTAACGGTGACCACTATATTTCTGCATATCACAAGTCTACCACAGCCATCTCCAAGCAGCTTACGGCTCCGATCTCAAGAAGAAAAGATTAAGAAAACCAAGGACAAGTCATGAAGCAGCCGGAGCACCTTCTGTAAGTCTACTGGTTGCAACGCAATTGCTGCCAGATGGGCCGTCAGGCATGGGCGAGACCAAAAGCCATGACAGACACCCCCATGCTTTCATGTACTTAGACCCCATGGCACCATCTTCATATGTTCGTGGTGATGGGCGGCCGCATCTGGAAGAGACTTCCGTGTGATCCGCGTATCTAGCATTGTGGCTTGTGCCTCCATGTGAAAGTGGCGCAGGTTCCTAGCAAATCACACATAAATCACACATTCTCGTCTGACGACCTATGCTGTCGACGAAATCTGAGACCTCGTCTTCGCATGGTCTTGTGAAACCTCAGGCTGCTTGCACCCATATAGACACGCGCCCTCACTTCTTCCCCTGTCAAAGAGGATACCGCAGGACTGCCTGCGTTGTATTCCAGTCCGCATGGTCACGCCGCATTAACTTGACAACTTTCATGTCCCCACTGTGCAGGATCACTATTTGTGCCTGCACTTTTGCCCTCGGCAGTAAACACGCACTGTGAAGCCTCCGGGCGGCGCACGCCATGTTCAAAAGCTGGACGATAGGAGCCGGCGGGGGACTGACAGAAAGACACAATGATATCGATCCTGCTTCCGGAAGGAAATTGATTCTCCGAGCGTGTAATTACTGCCGGGCAAAGAAGCTTAAGTGCACGGGTGATCGATCTGGCTGCCAGCGGTGCAGAGACCTCTCGAGGACGTGCGACTATGACCTGGGAGGAATCGGGCGTCGATACAAGCAGAGGACTCGCATGTCCCAGGATCAAAATTCGACTTTGGATGCAAGAGACTCCCACCATGAACAGCGGCTGTTCACTCTCCGTACGGACGACGAGACGGCGACAACGCTGAAAGATGCGGATGGAAGTAGCACCGGTGGCAAGCTGCCGGGTCAGGGGCCATCGCAAGCGCAATCATCCCAGGAACTTCAGGAAGTACAATCACAGGCTTCCTACTGTGCTACGGAATTCTCACCTTCATCGTCTGCAACAGGTGTATCGGCTCAAAGCTGGGGTGCCGGAAGCGAAGCCATCGCATCGCCTTGTCATTTTGACGATTTTTTGGGTACAGGGGGTGACGCACCAAGCTTTCCCCTGGACTTGGTGACTCTGAAGAATGCATACTGTGAAGCTCAACGGTCTGTCACCCAACACCCACAAACATCAACATCTGAAACACCGCGAGTCAACGATAATGGCCTCAAAGTCTCCGCCGAAGTGCCAGGCTTGAGGCAGCAGCAACAGATCCTAGCAGACGCTCCGTACGGCTCTAGCCACGTCTCAAATCCTACCACCCTGACGTTTTCGCCATGCCTTTGCCTCCACCGTACGATTCTGATCATGGACGAGGTCGAAGTGATATTGGGCGAGGCCGCCGCCAGCGCAGGCAGTCAAGCCTCTGCCTATAAGTTCGACGTTGTTCTGGCCACCCACAGAGAGGCTCTGCGCCACGTCAAGACCACGCTGGATTGCAACGACTGTGCGAGATCCATCGAGAACATGATCATCCTCACATTCCTCGTCGAGAAGCTGGCGCGCGTTTGTCACGGTATGGTGTCAGCGATCAGAGAAAAGGACCCAGAGAATTGCGGCAACATCCAGCCTTTTGGGTTTGGTAGCTATGAGGTTGAATCGTGGGAGGAGCTCCGCATGGTTGTCTCCAAGTTGCTGGAATTGCAGCTCTGTGGGCTCCGTGCGCTGGTGAAGCAGCTGGTCGGCACGTCACGGTGGATGGATTCGGGCACGATGGCGAGGCGCCTGGCCGTGACAGACCAGCTCATGTCGCTTACCTTCTCCTTGTTGCCGACTTGAACTGGAAGATGTATCCAAAATTGCACGATAGTCAATTTAGCACTCATGTCCGCAGAAATTTAAAAATGGGATAATATCGGTGAGAACCTATTTCAGCCCGGAGATCATGGGGTCATCGCACGAAGAAATGTCTGTCCCGTCAACCATTGTGATGATCAGATTGCGGCGACTTGGCATATGCTGTAAGTTTATCTGCGGTGGTCACAACACCCCCTCGCCCTGCACGCCGAGTAAAAAGAACACCTACGTAATGATAGGAAAGTCGGGTAATACTTAATTGGGCCCGGGCGCCAACCCCGAGTGTAAGATGCCGGAAACCAACCACTCACGCAAAAGACCGAGGCCCAATCAGTAAGCGTCACACATCTAAGCTGACGCCGCGTCGGGGATCGTAAATACAGTGGGTTTCTACCGACTTGTCTGTAAACCCCCCTCCCGGCGCATTCGTTCGATCCGCAGTGAAAAAGCTGTCTCGCAATCGCTCAAGATCAAAGGAAATATCTCTTCCTGATCGAAACAGGAAAACCAAGCCCCCACGACAAATTGTTTCATTAACCAAGGGGAATCAATATGCCCTCCTCCCGTAGCCGCCTCGCATGGCTCGAGCCACTCGACACCGACGATGCCACTTTTTCCGCGCCGCACTGGAAGGACTTCGTCGTCCCCGGCTCCATGAAGGCCTACTCCTCCGTCGCACTGGCCGGCGTGGCATCGGCTGCGCTGGCGATAAGCCTGGGACTCGGCCGGCCGGCCATCTTCGCTATGGTGGCGGTTGCGCACTGTGTGGTGGCCGGCCTCGTGGTAGGGGGATCCGCCATGACCGCCCGCGCCTGGCCCATCGGCAAGGCCAAAACCAACAGCGAGACGAGACAGCTGCTGAGCGTGGCGCAGTAGGCCACGCCTTGGGCCTACGTGCGCATATAGCCAACAAACCCGAAGCTGCCCAGGGAGTGTTGGTGAGGATGTGGAAAGGCAAGGGAATCTCCAATCAACCTCGTGGTCGGACTTTAGCAACCTGGAGGCCTGCACGATATACAAGGTGAAGCCGAGTTCTTCCATCGGAGACAGTCAATACCGCAGAGGCAGGGATCACATCAATGGACATGGAAACATGCGATGATATATATATATGCACCAGTGGAGGTGAACGAAGGAGCAACGAGAATTACCGAAGTCAGGAGTTGTGTCGGGCTTTTTTCTTACTGCTAGAGAGGACCGATTAGGATAGTACATTCTTTGGGGAGTCACAAGCTACCTATATACAATGGTCAGGGGTATGTGGGCATGGTGCTGCCAACGTGGCTCTGCCAAGTGGCTCATAGCTCATTGAGGAGATTCAAATATGGGTATAGATTGTCGGAAAGGTAGATACCGTGTAGTTTCTAGGCACCATGAAATGTCAAGAATGTCAAGGTCTCAACATTCCAAGCCAGACAACCCACTCCCACGCATCATGTTGACTTCCAAATAGAACACCTAAGTTAGGGTCTGCACATTCGGCCCACCCCCTGATTCGGCCCACTCCATACCCGCGTGCGCGTTAAGTCCACCGTATTATATATTACGCATTTTCTTTATAATGGAATTTTTTCTTTTCTTTAAACTTTTAATATATTATTATCTATTAATTATAAAGTTATATATAAAAAAAGATATAAATATAATACTTAAGGCAATTTAAGCTAATATTAATATTTAAAAAGCCTTTTTATATTAAAATATTTTAAGAATTATACTTTATAATTATTATTATAATATTTAAAGCTATTTAAATACCTTAAAATTTTAAATAAGGTTATTATAAATTTAAGAAATATATTTATTTAATTAAGTAATTAATTAAATAATATTAAGGCTATTAATAATATATTTTAAAATAAAGTTTTTTATAATTTAAGTAATTATTTCTTAAAAATATTAATTACTCTTTAATAAGCATTAATTAAAAGTTTTTTTTATTAAAAATCCTAAGATTTAAAATATATAAAGTTATTAAATAACTTTAAGCTAAGTAAATAAAGTAAAAATAAGTATAATTAAAAAGTAATTTAATTTTCTTTAATTATTAATAATTATAAATATTTATTTAAAAAATTATTATAATATTAATAAAAAGAATATAGCTAAGGATAAAAAGAAGAATAATATTATTTTAAAATTTAAAAAAAGGAAAGTTATTATTTAAAAAAGTTATAAGTTATATATATAAACTTCTTTCCTTAAGTATATCTTTATAATAAATAAATTATACCTTTTCTTTATTATTTTTAAGGGGAAATTAATTTAATAATAATAATTTAAAATTTTTAAGAATTAAAAAAATTAAGAGTTTATAATAATATTAAATAGCTAAATAAATAATATTATAATATTTAAGTAGCTATAAAAGATCTTTATTTCTTAAATAAAGCTAAATATCTTTAAAAAGTAGTATTTATTAATAATAAATAAATATAAAAGTTATTATATTTTAAAGTTTATATAAAAATACTTTTTATATAAGATTTATTACTTTTATTTATTGCTATATACCTTATATATATTATAACCTTTTAATTTAAGGGTATTTCTTAACTTTAAAGCAATATATAAAAAGAAAGTAAATCTTTTAAACTTTTATATTAATAATATTTATATTAAAAAGTAATTATTTCTTTATTATTATTAAAAGATAAGATTTATAATATTTAAAGAAAAGTATATACTTTTTAAATAATAAGGAATTAATTTATAATTAATTAATATAGTTAAATTATTAATAAGTGCAATTATATATAAAAACTTTAATAAAATAATATTTATATTTATTTTTAATAATGCTATAAGAATTAAAAAACTTAAATTAATTACTTTAATACTTATTAAGTTATAAAAAAGGGTTTTTTTAACCTTTAAAGTATTTTAAGAAATATAAGTTACTTTTATTAATTATAACTTATAAAAATACTTAATTATAACTTAATAATTATTCTTTAAAAAGGTTTAAAAAGGATATAATAAGAAAAATTAATAATTAATAATGCTTTTATAAGAAAATTAAGTTCTTAAAGATAAATTA